GTGCTCAAGAGTGTATGCCATGGGCAGTGGCTGTCCTAGGCGGTCGGCCCCGGGGCAAACAGGGACACGGGGTCAGATCGAAGTCTGTGAGTGATCGTGGTACCACGCGGAGAAGCAAGCACGGTGTCTTGCGTCAATGGTTTACTGTCCTGAGTTGATTGTGGGTGTATCTTTACAATTATTTGCACTGTGCAGAACCTTTAAGGATGAGCTAGTGGAAGATGCTCATTCAACACGATTCCTTTTTGAGGAAATAATTGTCACAACAAAAAAATTGACATTGTAGCAAGTCAAAAGTATTTTATAAAAATCAATCCAAAAATATTTGAGACTATGATAAACGCCTCCCCCCCCCCACGTCTATAAAGATGGAAATTAACCCTGATTCGTTTTCAGTACAAATGTTGTAAACAATATAACTTGAAGGATTGTATTTAAATCAGCCACTCAAATATAATTAGTTAGCCTGTTTCATTAGGTAAGTACTGTCATCGATGACTCTACTCATCTAATAACAGGAAAATATTTGGGAAAAATAAGTCACCTCTGTTACCACACGTGTCGCAAGGATGGGAGGCGATGGGCGAGGCTTGCTGATATCGGCATCCCCCACGTGACACTGGGGAGTGGCTTGTAGTAGGGGTTTCCAGCTTTCGGGAGGCACAATGTTGGGATGGTTACCATTTAAAAATGGGCCAGAGTAATTGTCCACAAAACAGTAAATTACACATGTTTAGCCGTTTAATCGACGTTAAACAACGAATCGCCAGAGTTCTACATGTAAGGAAATTGGTGTGTTTCTAAGATTCATTGCAGTAACCCTTAGAGCCAAACACTAGGGGGCGTCCTTTAACGCGGATGAAATTTTTTGGCAATGCTTCAATGCAAGTAAACAGACATCGATTTGTGCATTTTTTTTAAACTCTCCAAATATAACAGATGCCATTAAAAACATTCATGTTCAGTGACGTAACATGGACTATTAATAGAACAATTATTTGATCGTAAAATATTGCAATAATACTTTTGCATTTGCGCATTATAGTTATAGATTCCCCCATATTTGCTAATTAATAACATCATATGTTCTATTTGAATGTACCCGGAGGGAAGGCATATATTCGAGTAATACCGTAAATGGACCCCTTATATCAAGTTGTTCATTCCGTTAAAGGAAGATACGAGACACACACAGCCAATACTAAATCTGTTTTAGATTCACTGTGTTGTACTCAGGCTGCGTATCGTGTGCTGTAGACAAGTTTACAGCGATGACAAAGCCAAAACAATAACACTACAGTGCTATTATTTAACATCAAAGCCGCATTGTTAAATTTGCATTTCCATAGCGCCCTCTCCTGATAGCAGACGTTGGTGCAACGTTATTTTAGCAATTTTTGTGATTTCTCATGTTACACAGTTGTTGTTTTTTTATTATTCATATTCACTTAATTGCTGTAATTAATTTTCTGATAATTGGTTTTTTACCCTTTTATCTGGCAACAAAACTGCCACCTTTTTTTAATTTTCTGTTTGGCTTTTGTCATTTGGGTGATCCAGTTCACTCTCCTGGTCTATTGAGTTCTCACCTCGTTAAATGATCAAACTTGGCTTGATGAGATCCACACTGGAGTCGCCTGACGTCTCTCAACGAGGTGGTGGCCACGAGACTCGCGAAGGGCCAAATTTGTGGCTGTTACAACGCGTGCCGCATGCTGAGAGCCGCTCCATGTCATCCTATGAAGAGTGGAGATTTTTAAATCCTTTATATTAAGTTCGCTTGCTTGCTTGCGTGCTTGCTTGCTTGCTTACGACCGTGCAAATCTTTCGGTCGTTTTTTAACCCACTTCCCGTGATCCAATCGAGCTGACATTTTGCACACAGACTCGTTGTGCGAGACAATTAATGTTCGTGAAATTTTTTCCCCAAAAATTTACACTGTTTAGGGAAAACAAATTAAATATTTAATTACCAATTGCTTAATGGTGGCAGACAATCATCTGACCCATAAGTGGCAGCCATCTCAAGCCAAAGGACGAGAGGACTCTAGCCGCCACGCATATAAAGGATTTATAGTGAAAAACTTTGTTTTTACGGGTTATACTTATTAAAGATGCAACGGTGGCACTCTGTCCTGCCGCCAGGGAATAAGAATTGAGATAGGAATTAATAATGAATTTTTACAGAAGCAAATTCCAACTGTCGCATTGCCATGGATCCATATATGTTTTTACATTGGCATCTAATTGGGTTATTTGGGGTAGGGGGTGCGTCTTGCTCAACGATAAAAGCAACGTTTCATTTTCAATCAGCAGAGCGGTGGAATTTGCTCACGAGCATACAGGTCATGGGTTCAAATTCCAGTCAGCTCAGCCCATCATCCCCCATAGGAGCAATGAGCACAACCTGCTGAGTGTGGCTGCACCACTTGGTACAGGTGTGAAAACTTCGGTTGTTTATGTTGAAAACAAACTTGTCCTCACCATAGAAATGGAAACTTCCTCTCCTGATTTGGGACTTTTATCCCCAAAGTGGAATGATAATGCAGGTGCCACGGTGGCGGGACGTTAACTACTTCGCCTGGTATACAGGAGGTCATGGGTTCGATTCTCGACCGTGACACCTGTATATTTGGAGTTTGCATGTTCTCTCCCATGGTCGTGTGGATATTTCTCTGGGTTCTCTGGTTTTCCTTCCGCATTAGCAAAATGCGTTTAGAGTATTTGGCTGCTATAAATTTCCGCAAGATATGCTATTTAGTTGAGCTGCCATTTGTGAAAAAACCCGCTATATTAGCTCAATGGGCCTTACCTGGTAAAATAAAATTGTTTAGTTTTACTTTGATAAGGATGAGGAATTGCATTTACAGAGCCCTTAAGATATTTCAGCAAATCGACGAGCCTTACATTATGTCGCATCTAAATAATTCCAACGCCCTTCTGTAGTTTGAGGATGATGATTAGGATGGACTGACAGTAGAGAATTGTTCATAGTATGACAGCCCATTGAGAAACTTTGTTCAGAGCAATACTGTATTATAATGTCGTTGTAATTGACCAATAGTTGTTAAGTTACCAAATGCAGTGCCGGATAATCCTCGTAGCAAAAGTAGCTACATATGCTACGGGCCCCGCACTTTCAAGGGCCCACGCTAAATGCTTTCAAGCTATCAATTCCGGTTCAGTGATTCTGCACTTGCTCTATTACTATCGTACTATACTGCCTTCAACTTTAATGAACGACTGGGTGTTTAAGGTTAGCGATTTGTCATATTATCTGGCTGTATAGAAAATAAAAAATACGATTATTTGACTATACAAGTAAAACATTTGTATTTTAAAATTTACGTCTTTTTTTCATTTAGGGCCCCTTCATAACATATGCTACAGGCCCCGCACGAGCTTTATCCGGCACTGGCCAAATGCAATACAATATTGCCATACAGAGATGTCAATATCCTGATTTAATATATGCAAAGTTATATTTATTTGGTCACTACACCAACACATTTGCCTAACGCCTGCAAACATTGAAATGGCTTATTTTAACCAAGCCACAAAAACGTTTGGGTTTTAAAAACGGTTGGGGTTTTTATTATCAGTGACGAGGTTGCATTGTGAACTCTGGACCTGGAGGGCATTTGCACACAGTGCACACAAGAATTCACTGTTCATGAGATAAGCACACAAAACACAACAGTTCATGCAGAATGTCTGCATCAGATCCCTCCTCAACTCTTCGACGTCAGCCACACTGGGGGCTTTCCCCAACTTCCATCTTCGATTATCAAGGTTGGCTACGTACGGTGCGAAAGAAGTTTAACATACTCACGTAATGGGTTATAACAGCACCAATGTGAAAAGTATGATTCTCCACGGCGGCGCTAACGATTTCTTTATTGTACGGGACTATTGTGTACTTCTACGAGAGATCGTGAGCCCTCTTGTATGTGTGTAGGCTACAGCCAAGGGGCTGATCGCCCCGAATCCCTCCCCATGTCTCTTCCACAGCTCTATATATTCAAAAGGGGCATTGACCGAAACGTCGCCTGTTTTAAAAAAATATTTTAAAGCGGTGTTGTTTGACAAATGTGTTGAATTTCTTGTTGCAATTCATGCTTGAGCACCACTGCCAACGCAATATCACTCAATTATTCGTTTCGTCTTACAGCCAGCTAAGTTCTATTCCTTAATCTTAATTTTGGAGCTTTCGTGACTGCAGGGATTATTCTTTGTTTTTTTCGGTAAAGTCACGTATAAAGATAAAATAATAAATTAAATTATAGCATACGACGTTTCCATTGCAACACAAGCAATCATCATCATGAGGTATAATGAAATAGCGACATAGAATCTAACCAGAAAACTATAGACAGACATATAAGCGGACAGATATCACCAAGATACACAGAGAGAGACCACGCCCCTCGCCGTCTCTAGCTCCGCCCCCTCGCAGAGTCCCGCTTCCCTCATCATAACAGGACCTTGCGGGGTGGGCTGGTAGGAATAATACTTAGTACCGGTACAGAGATATCGACCGGGTATAGAGGAGTTAAAGAAAAAAATACTGTATTCTAGTGTAACGTTAATTAAAAGTGTTTGTTTTGACAAGAAACGCTGTGAGATTTAAAGACTCGTAGTCTTTCATTTCCAACACCACCCTCAACACCACCCCTCCCACGGACGGACGGACGGACACATTAATCTATTGGTGGTCTGGTCCACTTCGTTCCTACCAGTAAAACCCCGCCCCCTCAGTTACTAGCCCCGCCCCTCATCACATTGCCCACGCCCACCTTCGCTTCATCCTCAATTGCACCCCCCCCCCTCCAGAGCCCCAACCCCATCCAGCCAGGTCCCCCCCCCCTGGTAGCCCCGCCCCGTACCCCACCACCCCCCCCCCTCCAGAGCCCCAACCCCATCCAGCCAGGTCCCCCCCCCCTGGTAGCCCCGCCCCGTACCCCACCATCCACACCCCACCCCGCACGTCCCGTGGGGGGTGGGGGGGGGAGTGCGTGACGGCGGAGTGCGGACCAGCTTTTGTTCACTCTTCCATCCTCGGCTCAGAGGAGCAGCTGAGAGAGAGAGAGAGGAGCTCAGCACCTTCCATGTGGAACTGAGTCCGGAGAATCCTGTCAGTGTGGCTGCTACATTCACGGTGGGTCCATCATCATCATCCTCATCTGCTGCTGCTGCTGCTGCACAGCACCGCTCTGCCAATCAGCATGATCATCAATGCCATCAAGTGTGCCCACCGGGCAGGAGGGCACACAGGGGCAGCTGGGGCATCATCTTGTATCTTCCTCACGAGGGCCATGACTCATTCTCTTTGTGGTTCCATTCCTTTCCTGGGTTCTGTTGTTGAATGGTTCTTAACTTCGTATTTCCGTTGGTTCCATTAGTGTCGTGTCAATGGGTTTTCATTCAGTTGTTAACTGCTTACTGAAAATGAACACTGCCATGGCCCGATTAAATCTGTGCTTTGGTAATGAGGCAAAGTGTAGCGATGGACAGTGGTTAGTTACGTGTAAGATCCAATCTAGTGGGAGAGACCCATGGGCATTGGACAACATTTAATGTTAATGCTAGTAATAGTAATAAATACATGTTACAGAAGCTAGTAAATAGGTGAACAAGTCGGGACTCTAACCTGACACTTTTGAAAACGGTGTCTTCAAAATACACACGAATTATCTTGAGAAAACAAATCAGGGTGGTCATCTCCCTCAAAGAGATCGTCTCTGGGTCAGTGAGCTCTCGGCAGGTTTTTGGTTGGTGCAGTGACATGTTTGATCGCTTGAGTGAGTGTGTAAGAGAACTCGTGCGGCGTTGTGAAACAGCATTTACCGTTCGGTTTGACATTTCCTGCCTCTATTTACTGGGTCGGAAATTAAGAATGGGCATCGTTGCTTGAAGTGGAAATGATCGCATGTGTTAAAAGAGCTAGTGTCCGTTTTACACCGGGTAATGGTGATACTATGGTATTTGTGTGAATTAACTATTCGTATCCTAATGGAGTAAAGTTGCATGAGCAACTTTGCGTAAATCAAATACTTTTTTCTTCTTGGTTCTTTCGGTAAAGTCAATGAGAAGATGAATCCCTACAGTCACGAAAGCTTTAAATCGCAAAATAAAACAAATACGTTTTCTCAGAAATTATTACACCAAGAGCCTTCTCTCCCGATACTTTCCATTCATTGGCTACCACATTCTGATGAGCCCCTCCCCCCCCTCTCCTCCCCCCCTCAACTCGCTTTTAAGGGATTACATCTTGAATCATTGCCTCACTTGATGCAGCTGATCTGGCTGTGACTGTCCCACCTGATGACGGAGACTTGTGTTGCCTCCGAAACGTCGTGATCTTTATTTTTATTTTATTATTTTTATTAATTTTGATGTTTTTACCTACGTGACTTTACCGAAAACACCTAAGAATATGATTCATTGCAGTCACGAAAGCTTCAAGTCTAGAATTAAGAGCCATCCATTAATGTAATGACCTGGAAACGAAGCAATGGTAAACCGTTGTTTTTCTTTTTTTTCATGACGGCCACCCCCCTCGCCACATCCGTCATGGGGTTTGTTTGACCATGCTTCACCATGCTGCTCGGTGCGGGATGGTGAAGGGGACCCGTGTCTGGTATAATCTCAGATGCCACTCAACACTGATGTTAGCCAAGGGGTGGAATTGAACTCCGGTGAACTAATTACTTTGCCCCTGCTCTGCCACTAATACCGGTTCAGTATTAATCGTTATACCAATAATCCTGTAATAATCAATGATCTTTTTTTGATTATCTGTCCACCTCGATAAATGTAATAAATTTACTCCTTCAAGCGGCACTTTGTTATGAGGGTAAATGAAAATTCATGACAATTCATAATTTAAATACAATTTAGATGTATGGCAGTGTCAAAATGGAACCTCATCTCGAGATGCTGTGCGGGAACAATGGTGGATTTATTTTGTGCAGAGGCTGAGGAATAAAGGGGAGTTTTGAACCTGGAAATGAACTTTGGAAGGGAGTGAACAGAACAGTTGTTTTGGAGCAGGGAGCTTCAGCGGAGGGGTCGGAGTGTCTGACGAGATGGGAGAGGTATGAAGAGATTGACTCATTTGAGGATTTTGAGGACGGGGAGTGGACTCTTGAAATTCAACTGGTATTTTGGGAGCTTGAGGGGCGTTCAGCATTACCGGGTGATGTTGTCTACTCTTTATGGGTGCGGGGTGAGGAGTTTGGCAGCAACATTCGGATCACCTTGAGTTTCAAGGTGACGGCATTGGAAGAGGCTGTAGGGAAGAGAGTTACAATACAGTAGTTGAGTCGGGATGAGGTCACGGTTGAGGGTCTCAGCAGCAGCTGGGGTGAGGAAATTGTGGATGTAGGAGATGTTGAACTGATGGAGATATGAGGTCCTGCATAATGTAGCTATTTAAGAAGATAATTAATCTTCAGGACCAATTACAACTCCAATGTCTTCCACGTACGGTGCGAAATAAGTTCATACATACACACTTCATAGATTAGGAGATGTACTCAAACTTTCGTCTTTTCTGCAAGTTGACTCTTTGCTGATGAGAAGTGCTTCAGTTTTGACAACATTCTCCCACAACCTCTGCATACCCTTGGATGTTACATGCTTGATGCTATTCTTTACTTTATATAATCGTATATGAAGCAATTTCTCACGAGATTATCCAATAACAAGAACAATTCAACACAATCGCCCATAACATTGTTTTCAACTGAAGCACTGTATGAGGGATAATATTAGTTTGGGTTATATTTATTCGGATAAATCATTGTTTACAACTTTCTAAAATTAATATTGATGGCTCTCCAGAGACTGAGATTAAATAGGTGTGACTGGAGCTAATGTAACCATGTACTGCCCAAGGTTAATAAAAACGCATTAGGGGCCGTCCATAAATGACGTCACGAGATTTTGGCCGATTTTTGACCCCCCCCCCCCTCGTCATACGGCGTCACAAAAAGTCAGACCCCCTCAAATATGACGTCACAAAGCTCTGCCCCACCCCAAAAAACACATATTTCCTTTTAAAATAAAACATGCTTCAAATCACTTTAAACTATTGTCATTTTAGTGCGCTATTTAATGTGGCGCTGCACTCTGATGTTGTAGGAGAAAACATTTATTAAAAAGGAGGCGTTGGAAAGCTGAAATTTAGCATAACATTCACTTGAAAATATTCAACGTCTAACTAAAACTGCAGATGTTCAGAATATTATATTGAAATTCTTTTATAATTATAAAATATTAAAATTAATTATAACTATAAAAAATTACTTCAAACTTTGTAGTAGAACGAAGCAAATTGGAGAGTACAATAAAAAAAATCACATATTCATTCCACAAATGAAAAGCCCTGGTAGAATTATTAGAATCTAAATGTTTAATAAAAAAATCATTCAAAACATTTACAAAATGTATGCTTCTCCATTCTCCCATGGAGAAGCAAAATGCTCCTTCATGGTATAAATAAAAGGTGACCTTAGTGAATTTAAATATCAAATAGTTAATGAAAATGCATCAAAATTAGTGTGTTATAACAATTCTATTTAATTAATATTTATTTAAAGTTGCGCATTTTGATGTGACGTCACATTTCTCAAACCCTCGTCACATCGTCACATATCGTCACAAATGTCTGACCCCCCTCCTCCCTTCCTCGGTGCGTGACGTAATTTATGGACGGCCCCTTACTAGCGAGGAAACATTACTATCAAAGCAAGGTCAAGCAACGCAGAACATGTTCCAATGAAGCAGATGCTGGTGTTTATATTTAGCCTCAGGTACAATCTATGAAGGATACGTTCCCCCCTCGTTACCGTTGTTGATCTGACTCAATTACTGTCTCCGAATTACAAGCTCTGCCTCTGGACCTTGCATCAAGAATGATCAAATTACTCAAAAGTAAACGCGTAGACTCGGTTGTAATGTTTGGTGCCATCAGCGAGACAGTGATCTTGCACCCTTAGGGTGTGTCTCAATGCCACTGGGTACAGGGTTTGAAGGTTGCAGGTTCAGGGCCACGTGGCAATAAACCTGACAAGTGACTCGTTGAAAATGCACAGGACTTTCCTCACCAGCGGTGGTAAAGCTGGGTGATAACGACGCCCAGCCCTTAACGCTCATATTCGCGAGATGAGGGTAAGGACCTTGCATGTGCCCTGTAAAAAAAGTCCATCTTCGATTGCTTCATAAAATATATGCCCCTCTTAGTGATTAGGGGCCGTGTTAGGCACATTGGGTGGTTTTCAGCCTGTTTGTTTATGTGTAGCCAATTTTGCACGGCCGCCTGCCAGGTTACTTTCTTTTCTGTGTCATGCCGAACAATGAACCACCACTGTGAAGGTGTGACAGATTTCTGTAGAATATTTTATTTATTTATCCTCCTCACCAAAGGTTGACGTGGATACAATGAGCAAATAATTTGGTGAAGATGCGTTGGCAGCATCACCAAATGAAAGATAGACATTTAAACAGAACAACGTAACACATTCGTGACAAAGCACCGCATTAAAATAAAAAAGAACATTAATCATAGGTGACGTTTTGGACAATGGTCATTCTGCACAGCACATAGAGAGGGCCAGAGAGATTGAGTTAATAAAGGTTGGAGACTGCACTTAACAACATGGGGCCTGATGAAAAATACATGAAAAAAATGTTTCTGGTGACCAGATTTGAATTAGGCATCTGAGTAACATACAAACACTTCACAAATAAACACATTTATACTCAATAAACTAATCTATATATATAAAAGGTAACTTTGTGAATGTGTGTTCTCTTCAAAATATTTAGCATCCTGCCCGACATGCAACAAATTTGAAATGTGGCATGTGGGTATCTTCCAGACTGTTCACAATGCAAAAAGTATAAAAATAGACTTTTGTATTTTGGTGCAATAATGGATATATTTTGCACGGCAAGTGAGCGGTGACGTCACATCTGTGATGTCACCCGCATACGGCAGCGTTACGCAGGGTGCCTGCTGACGTCACGCATCCCCCCACCCTCTGCGTAGGCCGTGTATTAATCCAAGACAATAATCCAAGTCCCGGGCGAAGCTGGGTAGTAAAGCTAGTGTTTAATAAAAGTTGCTGGCACATTGCACATTGCATTGTGCCA